GATGAAGGACGAAGGGGCGATCGTGAAAGCCACCTTTGATTACAAAGGGAGGGATGATTATGAGAACGAAATCACAGTAACGTACGATATCGTGGATGCTATGGCGCAACCCGAGGAGGAATGGAAAGCGAACGCAGTAGCCTTCTTTGATGCGGTTTGTTTTACTTTGCTGTCGCACTTTGCATCCAGCTGACCACACGCGTCAGCAACCCGAGATTCCCGACATACACCGTCTATACAGGGACGAGAATCGCCCAGATTTTGATCCAAAGAGCGATGCGTATCTCACCCAAGAAGAGATCGCCGACCGCGAAGAATCCGACCATGATTATATGATGCATTTTGACACATACAACGCACCTCCGCCCCATAATCATGTGCGTGAGTACATGGAAACTGGAACTCTGAAGCATGAGGCAGGGATTTGTCGGTGCCCCGATTGTGACTCGAGCCTCGGCGATCTCCTGCGGGGGCGGAACAGAATGCGTTACTCGAGTGACGAGGATGATGAGAACGGTGGCCACGCCGACTATGATGACGAGGAGGACGATGAGGAAAGTGATGATAATGGAAGCTATGATGATACCAGGAGCGACGATGAGATGGAAAATGCTCAGGGCGGACAACAGTCAGGTGCTTCTCATCAAACGTAAGCCTGTTGGAGGCACATGTCAGGATAGGGCCCCAAAGTAGTTCTACAGTAACAATGAGACTAAAATCAGCCGTACTTTGCTTCTGGGTTTCCTGTGGCCTACGGAAACGAACATTTCCTTCTCTCTAGCATAGATTAGATCATAGTGCTAGGTACCAAACTAAGCCCCGCTATCGCGCTCTCTTTCCGCGTCTCTACATCTCAATCTGAATCATACGACTCATCCGAACTACAATACGGGCTTTCCTCGTCAGGGCCAGTAGTAGACCCATCATCTGAGCCAGTGTCAGATCCGTCCTCTGAATCCGTCTCTGGATCGTTGCCGAAGCAGTTGTTCATTCTGTTGGTTGTATCTTCGTGATGTTGAGGGTCGTAATCCGGATTGTCTTCCACCAGATAGTCCCTGTGTCTGACCTGGAGGCACTGTTGTCGCGGTTTGAAAAAACTTTCTATCAAATATTCCTTCCATTCCGCACCGGGATCCCGGATATGTGGGTTGAGGTCGTACTTTATAGTCGAAGTCCTGTCTGGTTGGTAGAACCACTGAACGCGTATGTTCCGACTGTGTTCCTTGAAAGCTGTCAATACGGGTCGCAATAGTTCAAAAATGGGGGTCCAGAGGTTGAGTCGGATGTTTCTCTGGGGCAGTCGGATGTAAAGGTGGAAGTCGCGTTTATGAACGATGCGAAGTAATTGGTCAACCATGGCCTGCGCTTCGGCCGGGCTAGCAACAAGGTCCTTAACGGGGACCTCAACAATCAGTCCTCTCAGTACCGCTGTAGGCTTGAGACCAACTTTGAAAGCATCTGCAGTGAGTAGCCGGTTTGCCTCAGAAAGCGTCGTTGCGAAGAGGTGGCGGTAATTCGATCCTCCAGGTACCATCTTGTACCACATCTCCAGCGCCTCGCGCGCGGTCTCAATTCCAACGTAGGACTGTTTGATGAAGTGTGGAGCTGCTTTGTGTCCCATACATTCCTCCAAAGTTCCGAATTTACAATAGCAGTCTTCCTTTACAAGGTCGCACAGGTGGCTCCAGGACTTGTTCACAGGAGCGGTTGCGCCGCCATTCGCGCTCCAGAGCTCTTCATAGATCATTTCGCGTCTCTCACGAGGCAAGAGACGTTGCATCTCATCGCAGAAGACCATATTCCAAGCTCGACTGTGAGATCTTACAGTGGCTCGCGACGTCCTTGGAGGAATACGTTAGTGTGTTGTACGTTTGAGAGCGAAAACAATGCATTCTTCCACGTACTTCGCGTATAGAGCACGCTTCTCGACCAGAAGCCGCATTCTTTCCTTTTTCAATTCTTGAAGCTTGTTATTAATGGAACTTGTCTGTTGCATAGCCCTATTTGTAGATCAATCCATGTACTCGCCAAGGTGGAGGGAAGAGCGTACTCTTGTAATTGTTGGTACGTTCGCCATACATCTTCCTTCTGGCGATTCTGCTTGCACCTGCATGCACTCATCTTGTTCGTCTGAAGTAGTGACCACGACAACGTGTGAATAGTATCTAGAAACTGGGGATGTGTTTGGCCAGACCGAGAAAGATCAGAAAGTGGGAAAGCAACGTCCGTTCGGAAATCTCAGCTAGCCATGCGGACGCGGCTCCGGGATGAGGGTAAACAGGTCACCACTAGGGCATTGTGTTAGCGCGCACGCCCTACGCCGAATCACATATGCAGCGACAGACGCATGCATAGACACCACAGGGAGTGTTCGATGTTTTGGAGGATCATTAACAATACGTTGATTCATGACTGCAAAACCGCTGGCTGTTCGTGCAATAACTACGAAATATCCATGTCGACGGCGGGAAGTAAACCTTATCCTACTTCATCGCCGCTAGTCGAACTTCGCAAAAGCAAGTTCGTACGCCAGAGCAAGCGTCATACGCGCGTGCTGAAGCATATGGTCGAAGCTCAGATATTCAATCTTATCTTCGGTTGTGTGTATCTTGTTGTCGCTGTACTTGAAGTCGGACTCAATGACGAAGGCTGACGGGTAGCCGGCCTTGGACGCACTGGCGTGATCTGAGCAAGCGTAACCGCACTTGGTCAGAACATACGGAATGCCACAGTAGACAGTGATGATCTTCTTGATGAACTCGGTGAGACCGGGGTCAACGAAGTCAGTAATGACACCAACAGACTCAGGCTCGCCCGCATCCAGCGTCTTCTGGACGTAGCCGGTCATGTCCTGCTGAAGCATAGCCTTGACCTTGCGAGCCTCCTTCTCGTAGGACTGGAAGATGGCCTGCGATCCCAAGAGGCCTCCTTCCTCAGCAGAGTACCAGTGGAACTCAATTGTGTTGTCTGCTTCGCCCTTGAGGATCTCTTCCGACTTGAGGAGTACGCGCAGCGCTTCGAGGATAGTTACGGTACCGCTGCCGTCGTCGTCGGCGCCTGGGGCGGCCAGGAGAGCTGGGAAGAAGAGGTTGATGCTGTCCTGGTGAGCGCCGATGACAATTGTCTTGTCGCTCTTGCCAGGAATGGTGGCGATGATGGAGGACTGGCCCCATGGGTGAGGGAACGCCTTCACGGAGGCTTTGACAGCGCCTGCATCCGCGAGAGTCTTGTTGACCTGGCCAAGAAGCCATGCCGAGCTCTCGACTCCATATTTGGACTTATAGTATCGCGTGTGGAACGAGGTGAAGGTCTCGAGATGCTCGCGCATGTTGTTTTTCTCCAGCTTCTTGAGCAGGGGAACGATGGTCTCGTTGTGTACAGGCTTTTCGGGGAACTTGACGCTCTCAGCTTTGAACCGGCGGTCGAGCGTGCCGAGCTCTTCATTGTGCGTGATGTCGAAGAAGTTAATGTTTTGCTGCATCGTGTCAGCGGTAGGCTCCACGTTATCTGCTGTCGGTGCTGGGATGTCATACCTTACGCAGCTCCCACTTCTCATCTTCGGTAACCCATCTTGTCTCGCCCGGAGACAGCTCGATAAGATACTCGTCTGGCTCGATGATAGTAAGCTGAGGCTCCTGCAGGACCGCCTGGGGGTCCTTGGGATGCGAAACTGCAGCTGCAAGGGCTGCAGTGTACAGAGGTAGTAAGATAGTCGTTGACTTCATGTTTGCTGGAGTGTAGATGCTAGCAAGAACTGTGATAACGTCTATGGCAGCTGGCACGGTGGCTGGGTTGACGCGATGATGCGGAGATAGGCGGCGGAGCTGTCCTGTTTCAGCCAAGCGTGTAGATCATCCGTCACGAGGTCACGCGCAAGATTAAGCAACTAGCTGCTGCAAATTGACTACGGCGATTTACCGAGTCTGTTGATGTCTGGACCGAGCTGTCATAACACCAAGCTCACCTACTTCAAAGTTACCGGTGTGTTCACGTCTTGTCACCTCTTTCCATGCGTTCTTAGCTCCTACTTCAAACACTACGCCTTGCAAGCCAACGCCACGATCCCCGCAGTCCCGAATAAGATGTATCTCTCCTTACGCTCCGTAAAGAGCAATGCACCTGCCAAACCTATGGAGACAAGCATCATTGTTCTAGCGAAGAGCACGAGGCTTCCACCTGTTTCCTCAGGACTCAGTAAACGACTTTCGCGCCTCTTTTTCAGCGCCTTCAACACCCTGACGCGGGTATTCAGATGTGTAGCGGCACCGAAAAATGTCCTGATTGTAGCATCGCGTACGCTGTCACTTGGATAGTCATAATCTTCGTCGTTCAGAGGCTCGATAATCCTGTTCATAGCTGGCTTTCTCGTCGCCATGCCCTCCCAGTAGATACGTCGAAGGGGAAGTCCGATGTCATGGCAGATGCGAGGTAGATGCTCTGCAAACTTTTGGACGAGCTCGTCGCTTAAGTCGTTTTCTTTCAAGGAGAATCGGAGACCTAAGGACGCTTTCTCCAAGTCACTCGTTTGAAAGGCCGCCTCGCGCTCCTGTGTCTGATGCTGATGCAAGGGTACCAGCTGGAGAGTACGTTTATAGCTGCTGAGTCGATCCCACATCAGACATGCCTGTCTTTTTCGCTGCTTGTTGATTTTCTCGACGAGTTGTGTCATCAGAAAGGGTTTTCCATCTCTTTCATCTAGCAATTCTTCGAGAGAGTTGCAGAATGCTGTAGTGAACGATCTTGGGCCTGGACCAAAAGTTTTCATATCTTCCGATACTGCTGCCAACAGCTGATAGGTCCGCGTTCCTAGGTTTCTGCCTTTGGCAGCAAGGCTTGCCATACAACAATCAAGTACAACAAGAGCGTCACCTTGCATTTCCTTCAGAATCGGAATTTCCGCTTTGGGCCAGCTCGCTGTTGCCTCGTGCCGCCCAGTAAGCCTGATGGTCTCGGAGCTGACTCTTTAGTTTGCATTGACACGAGACATCGATGGGTCAAACTCACGCTGACAGCTCGAGTAGTTTCTCGCCATCTTCTGCTCCATGTCCGGTGTAGTAGAATATCAGCAGGCTATGTGGGTCATCGTGCTCAAACACATGATCCAGAATAGCCTTGTTGATGTCGAGCTGGGGCTTTTTGTTGTCGTCGATGGAATGTACGGAACACTGATAGCCGAACCTGTCTCGGAAAATGCGTTCCAGTCGCGCGATCTATGCATCTAGGTCAGTAAGTAGTCGTGGTATTGGCGTTAGCCAATTCGGCAGGACTAACTTCTTCAGCGTGGCCCTTGAAATCGTCAATGTTCTCATTCCAGCGAATGATTTTCACTGCAACTTTGAGATAGCCATTTGGTATTTGCAAAGCCTCATTGGCGGTCTTTTGGAATATAGCCTGCCTCAGAGCGTCTCGGCTCTCTTCTTGTTTTCGCGTGGCTGCGTCATCCGATACATTGGCGGAGTTCTTACGCGAGATCTTCATCGGCGGAGGACTGTAGCCGGCCAATTGTTCGCTTCGCTCTGGTGTCACGTCGGACAGCATCTGTTGTGTCGTCATGGCGGATTCCCGTGCAACTCTCAAAATTTAGGGCGGCCATTGAGGGCTCGGTCCTCTTTTTGTAGCACCACAATGGGCTGTGTTTCTTCCGGTACGTTCACCTGTGTCCTGTGGCATTGCTGACATACCTACCTGAGTACACAGCATAGGCGTTTTAGCCCCGAGCAATCGAAAAACGATAAGGCAAGGTTTGCCTTGTATTCTGCCCACTTTGCCTTCGTTTTTATTGGATGTCAGACCCCGACGTTCGTCCTGCGGATCGCGCCGCAATCAGCATTCTTCCAACCACAATCGTAGCCGACCCACCACCACGGTAGCAATCAAGTCAGCCGTCCGAACGATCAGAGAACCTGAGGCTCAAGCTCCCAAAACGGCCCAGACTGGCGTGCTTCGGGGCTATAAGGACGGACAGTGTCGCCTGGGGTATGCCTTACAACCCAGGAAGCCTGAGACTTGGAGGGCGCCAGTACGCCTATGAACTACCTTATTGCCTTAGGCATTATCATTACGGCGAAGCGACCGGAGTGCTCATCTATCATCTGCTGATCTACCAACGATACTGCTCCAAATGTCGGACCAGGTGAGACCTCGTGGGCTCCGCCACGTAGGCATCATTGACTGGGTCTATTGCTGACCGGTTCTGTTTCGCTGACTCTAGGAAACCTCCTCTGGCAACGAGCGACTCAAATCGGGCGTGCGCATTAGTAGCAACCCTATGATGGTAAGCAATGAATCTTGAGATGTGAACAATGTTAATGGGTGATAACTACGGGTAGCGTGATGCGCAGTTCAGCAAAGGCGATAGCGTCACGATGTTGATCACTCAAACAAAGATCGATGGAAGTACCAGGAAGAGTCACAAGACCTTGGACGTCGCTGCGTCGCGTCTCGTATCTGATCACTACGAATATCAGCTGACCGATGCCCTCACGAATACATCCTGGGAAGAAGGCAAATGGTTTAAAGAAAGTCTTTTGGAGAGTGGTTGAGGCGCTCACGGTATTGCCACCTGGGCACGTTTCAGGGTTACCATTGGGTAACGTCCCGCGAGATGGTCCCAGCTCGAAGCTGTTGTGATCTGCGGGTATTCTCAGCCTTCCCAATCATGCCACTACAAAAGTATTGCAGTTCCTCAGAACACTAGCCTCCTCCCATCTATTTGTATCCCGCGCTTCACTGACATACTCACATTGCTGCTTCGGTCGTTGTAGACACCAATCCACGATGCATTCGCCCAGCACTCTTCTTTTCGACATGCCTGATTTGGAAAAGGGTATAATCTCGATTCCAAAAGACTCAAATGATACGGCGATGGAACGCGATAGTCGTGCAACAACTTTCACGGTGAATGACACAGGAAAGAAGTCGCTAGATCCTCACGACACCAACACCAAAGCAGCCAAATTTTCAGCTGCTCAAATCAAACACAACAGCATCAGAGAAACTATAACGATACCCCGTATGTTCAGACAACGTGTCTTTTGTTGACAAAGATGCTAAAGTTACGGCAGTGGAGGAGTATAGGAAGGGTTACCCGCAACAAGCAGCGTTCCAATCCAGCGAGTCCAGCTGGTCCATATACCGTGGGTTCAACTATCTACACTCCCGAGTTATCCTGGAACTCCAAGACGAGCTCCGATGTATGGAGAAAGAACTTTCCGACATGGACGAGATTGATTTCCACAATGGTGACGGGAAACGACTGATGTCAAGAAACAGCGACCTGATGCAGGCCAAGCGGGAGAAGACTAACAGTGTGCGTGCCGGATTGATCAATAATATCAGATCCAAGCTTGTCGACTATGGTATGTATCAAAACAGCATGTGTAGCACCCGATAACTTACGGTACTATAGACGAAATACTCTCAAGAGCTCGTGACCTCAACGCTTTCCAGCGTCCATCAAAGCGCGACTATCGAAGCTTTCGAACATGGTTCTTCAACGTGAAACCACTAAATTATGAAGTGGAGGAGCAGTTCATAAAGCGGAAAGAAGATCTCGTCTCACTTCGACATGGCCGCGAGTGGTCAGGTTTCGATGGTCTCATCGAGTCATGTTTACAGAGAGTACATTGTGGGCTCACTCAAGTAAGCCGCTACTGTCTATCGGCGTATATTTCAAGTCTAATCCTCCCAGAAACTATTCGCAACTGAAGAGCTTCGCAAGAAGACAAGCGACAAGTGCATCTTCTACTACTCGCATTCACGCATCGAAAAGCTAGTCGGGCTGATAATCACGCTCATAATTTTCGTATTGCTGGTTTTACCAGTCGTGGCTATGTATAAGCTGACTTCAGTTGGTGACCGCAACTCAACCTTCGACGCCGTCGGTATCCTGGTTGTTTTCACGCTTCTGTTCTCGGCGGCCATGTCACTTGTGACGAAGGCAAAGCGGCACGAGCTGTTTGGTGCCAGTGCGGCATATTGCGCTGTACTCGTCGTGTTCATCAGCAACTTCAACAATGATGGAAGTCGCTAATCTGGTTCATCGTGGAAGCACTTGAGCAGTCAACGGTCTCTTCGTCTCTTCCACTGCCATAGTCTTTTCTTCATATGTACAGACAGATCCTACTTGCCGTTGTTATGAAGACGACAGTCTCTAAGAGTTCGTAGCATGAGGTAGTAACACATCTTCCATAATGATCATTGAGTGAATTGTCTTCTTCGTCTGCACAGTGCTCGTTATCAGCGCGTCCACAAAGAATCGTTCAACGCGAATGTACACCAACGACAATATTCGGCAAACATCAGCACCTTAAATCCGGAATTGAGAATCGCTTACCTACATGATGCAGAAACACGCCCTGGCCTGACGTCATCACTTTACGTTGTGGTCGCGGTGCAACTTAGCTAGAAGAAATTCTCTCGTCTCGTCCTCGTATGTCGTTTCGATCCTTCGAATTTCTTAGTCACAAGTTGTATGTCAAATATCATTTCAATGTCTACGGGTAGGTGTCAAGCTGGCACAAGGTGCGATTGCGCGCGATGCGGGTAGCTTTAACTCCGGGCGACATCTTCCTAACTCCGGGCGAGGAAGCCCACGAAGTTCTTCTCGGGCCTAAGTATAAAGAGGGGGACAGAGCTAACGAGCCCCGAGCCAACGAGACAACGAAAAAACCGTGACACTTTGTTCATAGATATTTCGGATTGTACTAGTATACAGATTTGTATCGCAACACACCAAACGAAATGGCAGACTCTTCAATCGTTTTCATCACGGGCGGCAACACTGGCATTGGGTACGAGACCGTAAAGGCTCTGTATTCTTCACCACAACCGCACACCATCCTGATGGGCAGCCGCTCTCTCGAAAAAGCCAACGATGCCATCTCCAAGCTCAAGGAGGAAGTCTTGGAGTCCAAGTCAGATATCGTCCCTGTCCAAATAGACATTGAGGACGATGCGTCGGTCGAAAACGCATTCAAGAACATCGAGAGCAATTATGGTCACATTGACTCGCTAATCAACAATGCCGGTATGTGCTGTTCTCTGTCTCTCCAATGCGGCAGACTGATGTGTGGTAGGCGGATCTTTTGATGGCATCATGCGCAAGGACCCTAGCCCCAAAGGCATTCGCGCAGCTTGGAACAGAAGCTACTCCCTTAACGTCACTTCCACCCAAGTAGTGACCCATCTTTTCGCGCCCCTATTGATAGCCTCCAAACACCCTAGGCTTCTCTTCGTGACTTCTGGTCTGTCTTCCCTCGAAACCTCTTCCAGTAGCTTCAATTCCAAGCTCATGAACGCACCGCCGCCAAAGGGTTGGCCCAAGCCACCATCCATGGCCCAAACAGCTTATCGCTCGAGTAAGGCTGGGATGAACATGATGATGCTAGACTGGACACAAAGTCTTAGCGTCGATGGAGTCAAAGTCTTTGGCATCAGCCCCGGATTTCTGGCTACGGGATTGGGAGGCATGGGGCCGGAAATGTTGAAGAAATGGGGTGCGGGCGACCCAAGTATTGGGGGCGTGTTCATCAAGGATGTTGTGGAAGGGAATAGAGACGAAGATAGCGGCAAAGTTATCAACAAGGATGGTGTGCAGCCTTGGTAGCTGCGCTATCTGCGGTATGATAGGCCGTCGGCTGTCGCACAACATTCGCAGATCTACTATTCTCGGTATCAGTCCATGGTTTGCTAATTTTCAGCCCCCAAATGAAGACGGTCCCTATGCCAGTATTGTTTTCATGGGAGCACCCTTTCATTCTCTGGGGCTATTTTAAATCAACCTTTCGTGCATGTGTCGACTCCTCCTTCGTCTTCGTGTTACATCATAGCTTATAATAATATGCATGATGCTGTGTATCCAGGGAAGGCTGACCCATCCGCAGGCGCCATTGCCACGGTGTCCAAGGCCTTTGAACCTCATGAGCTGAAACTCGATGGAATTGTGCGGTGAAGAAACCTCCCAACATTTACCACTGCATTAAATCGCAGGTAATGTGGAATATGTAGCCCATACAGTTGACGTCTGTATCTTCGTGTGGGAAAAGCAGTGAGACTTTCGCTGCTCAGCCTTGTGCCTTCGTCCTCTCATCTCTCCGCGTTCCCCGCCCCCACTTCGAAGAGCACAAACCTATGATCTTAGCTCTGGCCTACTACCCAATACGGATAATGCTATCATCGCAACAAACTGCGCCTCGCTGCAAGTCGCTTCTACCTTTCCAATGGTTCGTTCTACACCGTGGAAGCATCTTAACGACAAGTATGTTCGCGCAACCGCTCTATCAGACGCTATCTCGTCCGTTAAATATAGAAGAGACAGCAGGTAGCAGAGTTATGAGCTGCATTGCGTACTTTATCGTGTTCTGGCGATGCACAACTCTTTACAATCTGCTTCGATAGCTAGACACATACCTTCCACAAAAACACTGTATACTATTACCAATAACCTACTTCCAATCGTTAAAAAGACCCTGTATATCTATTGTACATCTCCAAGATAATATTTGTCACCCTAAAACGTCACCTAGATACCATGGCATCCGAATACGAGTCAGTTTACCTTGGAGTCTGGACGAATTGGTCGCATGGCTCGATCGCCGGCCTCACACTCACGACGACTCTTCAAAATGGCGGTTTACTCATCGCTTTCCTCGCGCTGTTCACTACTTTTACTGGAACCTGTTTCTGGACCATCGTCTCGTTCGCCATCCATCAAAACATGAGCCGCAAAATACCCCAAAGCGCATTGTACCACCAAAAGCAAGCAATACTTCGCAACTCAGAGACCAGTACAGCGGCTTTATGGAGACTATCAAGAATGTCTTGGGCCTGGAGGAAGGTGGTGGTTCCGCCCGCGTTACTCAGATCGGTGTCATTACCACTAGTCCTCAGCTTAGCGACCTTTTGCGCTTTCAGCACAGCCGGAGTTTTCTCTTCGCGAGTAGCCACTACGAGGGGTGGCGAGGTTCTTCTCGTTGGTGACAGGTGCGCTACATTGAACAGTTCCCTGTTCACCAAACAGAACTACCGCGTAGCTCAATCGTATATTGCCAGTAGGACCAGAGCAAGCGCCAACTACGAGTCAGTTTGCTATAGGAAGTCTGGGTCAGCAGATAGCTGCCGCAAATTCGTCCGAGATACTCTCCCTGTGACGGTCACGACTGGCATTTCCTGCCCCTTCCCGGGCAAGAACAAGATATGTCATTCTCCGACAGCTGCCCTCCGTTTGGATTCCGGGTTCCTGAATAGTCACTCTGATCTGGGTATCAATTCGCCGCCTTCCTCAAGATTTCTCTATCGAACCGTTAACGAATGTGCCCCAATACGCAGCGAGGGGTACACATACAGAAATTCAACGCAACCCCATTGGAGTGTTCAGTTCCTGTATGGATACTATAATGAAGGTTTCTGTGAAAGCAACGACCTTGAATGCACTCTTCAATTTGCTGATGCGAACACTCATCGAGGACCTTTGGGAAGCGAGTACTCGGTTTCGTAAGTCCTTCTCGTCGATCAAATACTTCTACAACTAAGCATGCGTACAAGTGCCGTCACACGCTACAACGTTATCAACAACGACGAAGTCTTTTCAAACGATGCCTGGCGGCCAATCCAGGAACTGGAAGTTCCTGACGCAGACCTCGGTGTGTACTTCCTTCAGATGAAGGATATCAGGTATCTCGAACCCGTCACCGACTTATGGTTTGAAGCTCTGGACAAGGTGGTCAACCGCGGTAAGAAGTTTGGGAACCAGACTTCTTATGCTACCGAGCTGCCAATCAGAGCACTAGCATGTGTTCAGCAATACCAGTTTTGCCGGCCATCCTTAGAAGAAGTCGAAAACTGTACGCCGCTGAATGGTATATTTGAGGCCACAAGAATAGCCTCCTCAACACTCTTTCCACAGCCCAAAGATTCTGAGAGATTCCTTTGGTCCTTACGCGCCATCAGAGATATGGCAGGTGGCTTCCATGAACTCGTCAAACAGCTCAAGGGCGGATCGCTTCTCGCGAGTGATTATGTCTCAGATAGTGGGCAGGGTGGTTTACCAGACAATCAGTGGGAGCTGGAACTGGAGCATTGGTTCAAATTCACGATGGCCGACTTACAACGAGCCATACTCGACCAAGCGACCGGTCCAGCTGTCCCAGAGGCTGTGCCATTCTTTTCAGCGCCCACGTCTCCGGAAGCACGAGCGCTCTGTGGTAGTCAGAAGATCCGAAGTGACTCCTATACTTCGTTCAACGTGCTCGGCCTTATATTAATGTTTTCCATCGGAGGCCTAATTATGCTTATCGCTGCCTGCCTGCCGTCTGTAACTGCGCGTTTGCAGCGGAAGAAGCCATTTTCCAGTATCGAGTGGGTCACAAACGATACACTGCAGCTGCAGCGGCTTGCACACGAGGCTGTCGGAGCCGGACAGTGGCAGGGCGCATGCGATGATTATCCGCGAACGCGAAAGGGAGATCTGCTGGCAGTAATCGATATATCCAACAAGGAACACCCTGTGCTCCGAGCTCCCGCAGCGGCCGAGATGGTGAAGGAAGCAGAGCAAGCCAAGGAATTTCAGGACGAGGAACAAGGTATGGAGGAGCAAAGAAGCGAAGGAAGCGTCGAAGAGTGGAGTGAGGGTCTCAATGTTGCAGGTCCAAGAGGGGAAAGAAAGGCGGAGTGGCAGAGAAATGACTCAATCCACGAGTCTTTGATGAGTGTCGAGATCCCGCGCGTCTCCTTGGAGCTTTCACATCGCTTTGCCGCTGGAATATGTTAGTGTCCTTATCAATTCGATAGACGTAGGAACAATGCAAAACCAGAACTGACGCGCATTGTCAGAGAGTACCACGTAATCTCATGGTGTGAGCATGCTGAAAAACGCAGGAGCAAAACGGCGCGCGTACCGATGATGCCACCAATGCAAGTGCAGAAGATGACGTGACGCGTGCCTCGGCTATAGAACGTTATCGATAAGGCACCACCTAGCCTAGTACCATTCACCAGGACAATGCAACTCTTCATAAGTAAAACGCATACCGTCCGATATATAGAACGTTCAGATGCCGACCACGCGAGGTCAAAAGCGCGACGCAGAAATGGAGGCTGCCCTGAAAGTTTTCTTCTCAAGCCCACGCTTTGCTGTCGCTGGCGCGTCTTCCGACCCACACAAATACGGACATAAGAGTACGCTAGAATATCCTCTCCCAGTGTTACCTGGATCTTTATCATCTCTAACACGATATCACAGTATTCGCTTGGTATCTCCAGCACTCCCTCCCCGCAACGCCTTTGAACCCGCGAAGCCCGAGTGTTACCATCTTGAACCGTGCCCACACAACCGTGCCGTCGCCGACAGCTCTTCAGGACCCACCAGCATCCAGCTATTCTCTGTCGGTCATTACGCCACCTACAGTGACGAAGCAATTGCTCAAAGAGGCGAAGGAGGCTGGAATTCCTGCTGTATGGCTCCAGCCTGGAAGTTTCGATGCCGAAGTTCTAGAGTACGCGAAAGCTAACTTCAAGGCGGCAATTGGCGGCAATGGCGGCAGGGGAGGAGAAGGATGGTGCGTACTTGTTGACGGTGAGGAAGGAATGGCGTTAGCTGGACGAGAAGCGTCGAGACTTTGAAGTGAAACGAAGGTCGACCGAGTAGTATGTGTTGCTCCCTACTCTTGCTATCGGAGGAGTTTCGATGATGTTTACGAGTGATCGAAATGTACTACAATTCATACTAGGAACATATTATGTGTTTGGATAAGTCAAGTTTGCCATCCCACGTCTACGTCCATTGCTCTTTAGCGTTTCTTCCACGAGCTCTCCGTCTTGAGCCAAGTCTCAAACTCCTTCATCTCCGGATGCATCCTCTTGCACTCCTCAATATCTGCACCGAACCCCTTCTCGCGAAACCAATCGAACATGTACCCAAGCTCTTTCGACATCCAGCACAGCGCCCCCGCGACAGACCGGTACGTCATCGGAAGCTTTTCACCCGTGCTCTTTCCAAAAGTCTCCTTGAATCGTTCAAACGAAAGTGTGTCCCCTGCTAGCGACATACCCTTGTTTTGGTATACCGAAGTATCGTGCTTGAGGAACGCTTGGGCGGCGAAGAACCCAATGTCACTAGTACTGATAAGTTGTAGAGGTTTCTCCTTTGGCAGCTTGATCGCCCAACTCGTTGTAAACACCTTGCCGAAGAAATCTGGAGTCAGATTCTCGTAAAATGCTACGGGTCGTAGTACGGTATATGTCATGTTGCTTTCCTTGGATTCGGAGAAGAGGTGTTGCTCGATATTATGTTTCGTGATGAAGTGGGGGACGGTTGTCGGATCCGAGTCTGATTTTGCACCGCCTCGATCCGCAGAAGAGAAGACAAAGTGCGATACACCGTTCTTGATAGACACATCTACAAGGTCCTTTCCCTGCTTCTCCTCATTCTTCCCGAGCGCCTGTAGGAGGATTCAGCAAAGCTCGACTATCATTGCTGGAAATATGCTCACCTGAACACTAAAGACTCCCCAAATGGGCATCTTGGTGGACTCTCTCGCTGCCTTGAACATCTCGTCGGCTGCATCGAGGTTTCCAGTGATGAGTTTGATCCTCGACGACTTCTTTTCGAGCTTCTTGGAGGATGACGACTGGGCGTTCCGGGTGACTGCTAGGATTTCGTAGGGTGCGTTCGCTTTGAGCAAGGCATCAACGACTGAACCACCTTGTTTACCAGTCGCACCTGTGACGAGGACTGCTCTGAGAGCCATTGAGGGCTAATCGGATATTATTTAGTATGGTCAGGACAAAGAGAAGAAGGTTGCGACTGTGTTCGATTGAGAGTTGAGCGATTCTTGCATCTTTTATGAACAAATCGTTCTGCTATGTCTATTGACATGTGCGAAATCCAGCATTGCTCGTACACATGGTGTTGCGCACCGCGACCGTGCGAGTCGGCGGGTTGTTCGCCCGCTTCTGGCAGCAGCTGAGGCGAACGCCGCTGATTGGTGTTCGGCCTTCCGAACAGCGAACGCGAGGCGGCTTACGGGATCGATCTGCCCAACTTCTATCCGGTCGCAGCTCCGTCGCATCGTTCAAGCAAAGGATGCATCAATAACCTGGTGACTGTTCTGTGACTGGCCGCACATCAAAGCGCGAAAAAGGGTATATATCTGCTAGAAAAAATCGATCTTAACTTCCCAACATGGCGTGCATCATATCAACAAGCCCAAGACATTTACATTTCCTTCGCGACAGCCTCCAGGGACTCCTTGAAGATGTTACAAGCCTGGCTCAGCTCCTCCTCGCTGATTGTGAGTGGCGGAATGAATCTCAGCACGTCGAACACCGAAGTGCTGAGGAGAAGCATGTCTCGCTTGACGCATTCCTGCACAATCTTGGGTGCAATTTGTGGCTGGCTCTGAGCATGTTGTGCAGCAGTATTCGATGAGTCGCGTTGCAGTTCTGGGTTTGCAAACTGGACACCGACCATGAGGCCCGATCCGCGAACATCTTCGATCAAGTTACCGGCCTTTGTGCCAGAAGCTTTGAGATCGCGGAGGAACGAGAAGATCTGCTTAGAGCGTGCGGCCACGTTGTCCAAAATCTTCTCCTCGTGGAATGCTTTGACTGTTGCTGTCGCGGCGGCGCATGCGACCGCGTTACCCGCATATGTACCGCCCATAGATCCTGGTTTTTGGAGGTCCATGAGCTTCTTACTGCTCGCAATACCGGATAGAGGGAACCCGTTCGCAATGCCCTTGGCGAAGATGAGAATGTCTGGCCGTACGCCAGACTCCTGCACGAACCACATGTGTCCCGTGCGGCCCATACCAGACTGGACCTCGTCAGCGATGAAAAGGACGTTGTGCTCATCGCAAATCTGCCTGACGCCGTGTAGGAACTCGGGTGGTGCCGGGACGTAGCCTCCCTCGCCAAGAACGGGCTCCAGAATGACAGCTGCGGTATCTGCGGGAGACGTCTGCTGCTGTAGGGTGAGCTTCAATTGAAGCAGTGCCTGGTTCACGAGTTGCTCCTTCGGTGTGTCTGGAGACATGCCGAACTGGCTGTAGTATGGGAATGCGGACGCAAAGACGCCACCCATCAAAGGTCCATGGCCTTCGCCGTAAATAGTCTTGGATCGCGTCATCGAGGCTGTCGCGTTCGTGCGGCCGTGGTATGAGCCCTGCATAACGATGATGTTCGGCTTCTTCGTCGCGGCACGGGCCAGTTTGACGGCTGCTTCAACTGCCTCTGCACCCGAATTCCAGAAGAAGACGGTATCGAGCGATTCGTGGGGAAGTATTGGAATCAGCTCTTTGAGAAGAGCGATCTGTGCGGAGCTGAAGCCAATGTTGACTTGGGCGTGTGTGATCTTGTTGCATTGTGCCGCTGCGGCAGCGCTGACTTTGGGGTGGCAGTGACCAAGGTTCACAACACCAATGCCGGCCGTCATGTCAAGCAGCTTGACGCCCTTGTCCGTGGTGATAAATGTGCCCTTTCCATCTTCAAATACATGCTTGGTGAGGCGGCCAATGCCCTTTGCAATGTGCTGTTCGCCAAATGCTGCTGTATCCATCTCGGAAGACGCTGGTCGTGTAGTAGAGAACGGTCGTCGAGGGGTTGGGACGTGTCGCGGAAGAGTGGGTACGAGGTTGCGTGGAGCTGACAAGCAGCGTCTGGATACCGTGGCGGCCTTCATTATGTATCGTGGGGATTGTGCTGCTGCTTTCGACTGCCGTGTAGGTCAAAGTGGTGGGGTTCGGGTTGAGGCGGCCTGACGTAGCTAGCACGCTTATCGCCGAAACTAGACGCCCTACACGCGTTCTTATGACCTTCACGATCATTTGCGACGGCCAACAACTCACTCACTTCGCTTCTACTAACTTCTTTAGGTAATACAAGAGACCGTCTGCCAAGACTTCTTACTCAACGACAAATTATCTACACGCCCCACACGCCTGAGATATTGTCTGGTAATCGGCCTGCAGTTGTTGTTTGAGCAGAACTTTCCTGTTGCTAGGATAGTACTGATGCCTCTCTCGAGCCAGCGGCAAATACACAACCACACATAGCAACTACGCCGAGGTGCACTATCTGGGCGGACTACATAGGTCTACGGTTCCCGTTCGAACGTAGAACGTACGATCAACACAACCTATGAGCTTGAAAGACACCGAGATCTCTCTGGTCTAGCCGGTGGTTCAGATATGAACCTTCTCCGCAGCCGTCACACGTCTATCCTGCACTTTTCCACGCCGGCTCTGATAAGTGTACAAAGTACATTATGAGTCTACCGCGTTCGCTATCACTACCTAAGACTCGCGCTCATTTCACTATGTTCTCATCATAAGCAAACAGTCTCAGACGTTGCTTCCCTCCTTACGATCCCAAGCCATAGGCCCCGGGTCTCGAGGACCTCCAGCAATGACCGAAGTTACTGTGAACTTCGTCTCCTTTATGATATTCTTCTGAGAGTCTCCATCACTATTATCGGCCTCGTCGTTGTCGCCCAAGGTCTGGAACGTGTCCATGGCTATCACGCGGGAGCGCGAGGTGGGCTGCCGATTGTTTATTCCAGATTGGTATGCTTGTCCGCCAGATGCAGCAGGACTATTGGAGCCGGCGGATACCCTAATGCGCAGGGATAGGAGAGGGCGAAGAGGAGGTAGCGAACCGGCGATGAGGCCAATGCCGACTTCGGTCAAGGACCAGAAGCCGATTTTGCCCGTACTGTACATGAACTCGCCAGGGTCACTGTAGAGTGTGAGGTACTTGAGGCGGACGATGGTAGCACATGAGGCACTGAGTCAGGATTAGTACTTGATACCATAGCATGAGGGATCGTCAAGGCCTTACAAAGAAGCGAGCGCAAGCATGACAGCAACTGAAGCTTTCACAGCTCCCTTCATCTGGACATTCCAAAGTAGAATAGCCGGCATGATCGAGAGACTAAAGTCCGCAGTGATCTCGATGGCCGAATAGAACAGACTGACGTTGGTATTGAGTTGAAGGTTGCAGGTGCCATTAGATTCACCCCATAGCGTGTTGATCGGATGGCCGGCAAAACGTTAGCGACGACATTTCCTACTTGTAAAGCAAATCAACTCACAGATGTTTGCAATTCCTATGCAGAACACTAGAGCGGCAACCATGGTAGCACCGATCAGCGCCCATAAAGCCCACGTGAAGAAGCGACGACCAACAGCGATGCGCAGAAGCGCTACTGCAACACTGATCTTGACGAACATGGCGCTGACTGCGTAGAAGTACTCTGCGATGTAAAAGAGCTGAACACAGTGAGTATGGGCTAAAGTAGCATTTCGTTGATAGGGAGTATGTACCTTTGTTCCTTTGGATATCGTCACCGTGGGCAGCTCTCGTGCGAACTGTCCAGAGCCATAGTGACAACAGACGATGCAAAGAGCAGCTGTTACTGAAAAGAGAATCTGCAGCGAACTATCAGTTGGCTTATCCCATGCTGGTGGTGCTGGGCACTTACAGTTCCGACGAGCATGAAGTAGTCATCCATGCCCCACGCTTTCCTCCACATCCGTACCCCGACTCTCATGGAGAAGACGATCCAACTCAACACGAGCAATATGATTGCGCAGTACAACAACGCCACTCCATCTCTGGCCACTTCGACAGTCGTCATGTTCCTTGCGCAATGTTGACAAACGTATCAGAGACCGAGAAATGAAGCAAGCAGATGACGAACATGAGACCGGTGGCAGCTCGCCAGATGACATATATTGGACGTTTCATCTCTACCACTGTACCACAGGAGAACCCCAATTTTTTGTCGACTCATGTCGTGGATCGTGAGCCGTGCAAACAGGGCCCTCGTGTTACGTCCTAAGGTCGCGGGCGCTAGACGTAAAGGGCTTCGTCTAGATCGGATCTAATGTGTCAACTGTCCGCGGAGGGTGCCCTCGGGAATAGCTTAGTGTATAGGACTGCCGCGTGGTCCGAATTGTTTACGTTTTCTCCGACACCTTGCTTTGTGGAAGCGAGCATCAATGGAGCATGGTCCCACTATGGGCTGCGGCGTCGTGAAGAGGAGCTACCCGCATCAAAGAAGCCTTATGCGTACCAGACTTGCTATCCATCTAAATCGTCGAAGTACCCGCGAGGCGTTGGTGACCCCTAGTGACCGGTACATGGGTGGCAGGTGTCGTGATTTTCTTCCCCTGTCGGGCCGTTGCTAGCTTAAGTGGGTCTTACAGCTGGTCCGCCCATGGGCTCGGTTCCAACACTGGCCGGCGCCACGCTCAGACTGCCTGATTAGAAAATGTTCGTCCCAAGACGGCAGTAAAGTTGGGTGGTCACCTGGTTCAGGCGATTACCATCACGCCTCGGATCTTGACTGATAGATGCGTAGTCGCGCGAGTGTGTTTCGATGTTGATTGAGCAGCTTCAAGGTCGCGGTTGGCTTGCTACGAGCGGAATCCTTCCCTGCGATGAAAAAAACGGGCCCCGTACGAAGTCCATCCCGAGCTCGCTGTGTTCCTTGTAAATCTCCGGCAGCTTCTCAGATTTCGTTTGAGATGATGTTTCTGGGCCCAGAACACGGGTAGCCTCACAATGCCAGCCCATGACTGTTCCAAATCAGTGCGCTCTTGCATGAGCTCGAGCTGATGCGCAAGGGCCCCGATTATGTCTGCATATTATCCTCTTCCTTTCTGTATTTTGCTGAAACTTCCATCTGTTTACTCTCACCATACCTAGCTCCGCCATGGCATCGTTCCAAATCCAAGACTCTGACCTGACGGGATTTCAGGGCAAAGTTGCCGTCATAACAGGTACCTTGATTCGGCCCAATCAACTTTCAGGTTCCAGAACACTGACAATGCCGTAGGTGGGTCGTCTGGTATTGGCCTCGCCACAGCAGAGCTACTGCTCTCTCTAGGCGCACTAGTTGTGACTGGTGATATTCAGGCACCACCGGCGTCTGTGGCTGACTGTCACTTTGTCCAAATCGACGTCAGGCGCTGGAGCGATCTAACGAAACTATTCAAGGCCGCGAAAGAAAAGCACGGTCGTGTTGACTTTGTATTTGCGAATGCTGGAATTGGGCCACGCGCAAATTACTTGGCTCTCGAAGTCGATGAGAACGGTGACCCCAAGGAACCAAATGATGACACCTTGGACATCAATCTGGACAGTGTTGTCAGGACCGTGACACTCGCTACCCATTATCTGAAGGGCCAGGCCGAGGGGGGGTCCATTGTCATCATGGGGTCCAGCACCGGCTTGCATCCCGTCCGAGCAGTTGATTATTGTGAGTAACAGTTCGTCGATCACGTTTGAATCTCCGACTAACAGCACGACTCAGCGACGGCCAAAGCGGGTGTTCTAGGCTTTGGTAGGAGTTTCGCGCTGTTGGTGAAGGCTGCCGGTCTGCCTATTCGCGTCAACACTCTCGCCCCTTCATGGACGGCAACTCAGGTCTTGCCCGATTTGAAAGGCTTGCTAGATGCGGTTTCGTACAACTGCCAGCCTACTTCAGTCGTTGCCCGAGCAGCGGCCTACTTGATGGTAGACAAGTCTCGTCACGGAGACCTCATCTTTGCCTGCGACGGAAAATACACAGAGATCGAGAAGGCTGTGCTTGCGCCAGCATATGCAACTATCAAGGGAGACGGATTAAGCGACGATGATGTCCTGGCGAAGGTCTTGGCGCTGGGTAGCTAGACATCCGACTGAATCAACGAGCAAATTCTGAAGTATTGAAAACGGATTTAACATGGATGATGTGAGCTGAACGATCGGAGAACCATAATCTGGAAGGGGGACGAACCCCTGCCAAGATTGTGACTGGTATACCCCTTCGGGTTAGATTGTCACTAATGATGTCATGCTGGCCAAACCCGAAATCACTTATTCCCGAGGTCTGCTGTGTTTCTGCTTAGGCATGAACTACTATTTGATGTGACCGTCACGAGCTATCCGAGTCTAAACACACTGACTGTAGTAATCGCCGTTGGCTTTGCACGTCGACCCACTCGCACAGCCTGTACATCCACTATAGGTTTTCCCGCCACACTGCCCATACTTCGCAACTTCGCATATGGGCGCAGCCGGTACTGTGGGCGTAGCAGATGCGCTGGTCATCATGGTAGTGGGGGAGGCTGTGGCTGTGGGTGCAGCGGTGGGTGCAGCAGACGGCGCGGGCGCAGAACCGCTTCCATCCCAAACAGCAGGGCCAGGGACAGGATAAGTGGTTGCTTGCTTGGCTTCAGGGGAGTCAATGTTGAAAGCAATGCCAGGCTCTGTTCCAGTGTAGGCGCCTGGGAAAGAAACGAGCGCTGATGCGGGAGGAGAGGCTGTACCCGATCCTGTCACGGTGAATTGAGCGCACTCGGGATAGACTGGAGAGTATCAGCTTGAGCATCGGTATGGCAATGTGAAAAATTGGCTCACATTGCGGGTTGTTCGCCTGATGTACAGCGATGAGCTCATGACGGATCAAGTAGTCACCTGCTGCAAGTGTAGCTGGGATAGTGACTGTGGCATAGAGAGTGTCGAGGATGGCATCGCCTGCCCAGATACCGGAATTTTCAGTTCCAGATATGAGGCCTTGCTCGTATATCTTGACTACGTCGCGGTCCTGTTAAAGATGTAGTCCACTTAAAGGATATGTACTTACACCACACTTTACCAGCTCCATCGAAGCTGTCACAAGATCCCGGACATTTGGCCATGTATACAAGAAGAGAAGTCGGCCTGTGAGTCCATTGCTTCCAGTGTGTCTTCAATTTGGCACCAGCGGCAATGGTGCCAGTCATGCCCGTACCGAGAGCGCCGTTATTGTTGCAGCGGATGTTGACTGTCTAGAATAAGTGAGCTTTTGGTTGATGTACGCTTTTGTAGGGTCGTACTGAGAGATCTTTGATGTACATGGGGTCGTAAGTCGAGTACTGTCGCTGAATGGACTTTTGACCTGAAGCTGAGTTGTACGGTGACCATCTTGGAATTGTCATTACATGGGAAGAGTGCGTGTGAGAAGGTGATATACCCTTGGTAGGTTGTGTCTCCTACAATATACTGATCGACTCCTCCATGAGCGGTCGCAGTTGCAACCAAGGAAGCAACCGCCGTCAATGCCGTGTAGAACTTCATTGTCATGTTGTAGAGCAAACTAGAGGGACCGATATTAGATAGCAAGTCGATGCGCAAAGATGGGCGGTGGTACAAGCAGAGAGTGCACCTTCTCATATACTTTCCGTTTGCCCCCGTAAGCCACACCAGCGCGTATCGCGTGAGAGAACCGGGTATTGTGTTGCCTCTACGACGCAAATCTCCACGCGTACCGTAGATTGATGTGTGATACTAGTCCATATGCTTGGTCCGTCACAGCCGCATGGCATCTCGACCTCTGGAGGAGTTTGTGCGACCGGGCCAGATATGGGGAATACTGCATAATCCGATTAATGGGCCAATGGTGCGAAGAAGCACGTTCGACTTTTGTGGTAGCCTCAACGGAGCAAGCAGCCGTTGGGGGGATACATAGATGAAGTGCGCAGGGGTGTAAATAGCCGGAGGTCACATTTCGCGGGGAAATCGGTAGCTTGTACCCATGACTTGAATGCTTGGTATATGAGGTGTGGGTCATCTATAATTTAGGATGATCTTGATCACACATGGCCGCTGCTTGTTCGACCACAAGATATGAAGCTCAGAGCTTGAGTATCTCAGCGGGTTCGTTAGTGACAACGTCACAAGGGCTGTGAAAATTGGCGTTGAACAGCTTCTGTACGCGCAAAGTGTAGCAAAGACCTAAGTGCGAAGATATTAGTATACGGTACTGATTTGAAGAGCTGCTAGCTGGAGAGAAGACCATACCTCGCTTATGCATGGGTGGTCAGAACACACCACGTTACGGTAGGGTCTGCTATATGCGGTCATTCAAATGAATCGTGAGATGTACGGAGCGCCCGGTCAATATAGACCCATCGAATACGCTGAGCCGAACGAAAACCTGGTCGAGGACCTTAGCCATACGTATAGCGTGTCAGCTCCAGGCTGGACCTGCTTGTTTGACGCAACAGGAACTGTGAACAGTGGGCATGATTTCGTAACAGCATGGATCGTCTTCTTCGCTGGTAGAAGCAGACGAAAGGCCAGATTGGAGTGAGGGAAGGATTGTGGTGCTAATCTGGTCGCCTGACAAGACGATAGAGTGTTCAATAGCGTGATGCATTGATGCCCACCGTCTGATAAGCATTCACATCTCGCGGGACGCTATACTGAACATAAAGTCAGGATGAATAGATGAAATCTGATCCGAGCGCCAGGTCCAGAAAGAATTGCTCAAGCACATGGCAAGCGCCTAGATGTATCGCAGCTGTTGCCCCGGGTGTGCTGAAGCTGGACTGTCAGTCGCTGTCCATATATTAACAGAGTCGTGAACCAATGTGCGAGAAGGAATTGATAATAGAGAGAACACTTTCATGCAATACCTAGTTCCTTCACCCGTAATAGTGTGTTCCGAGCCCCTCATATGTGCTCAATAGCCAAAATTGCAAGACAAAAACCAGAACGACAAAGGGCACGAGAGCTCAAGCCGAGAGGTACGCAGACCCTGCCTTTCCCACTTCCTCAGTAGCCAGTAGATGCATCGCACCATATATACCTTTTGGTGAGATGTCGAAAAGATGTGTGACATCATCGGCCAGATTCGAAGCTGCTGTAGATCGCAAGTTTCCAACCAGATGCTCATTTCCCATAGACAGTCACCTCGTCTTTTGTACCAGGCATGCGCCAGATCGAACTACTGTAAGTAGCAATTAGCGTTGCGCTCTTGGAGCGTGACAAGGAGCTCGTAGAAGTCCTTCCTCCAGTCAACGCACTCAAGGTACTCCCACCAGAGGCGAAGTGCAGGCGCCTCATCCATATCAGACTGCAATCGATCAGCTTTGAACTACTCATACAATTCAACATGACTTACCGCGTCAAACGCCTCAAGGATAGACTGCTTCTTGATCATAGCGGTCTTCATGTTGGCCTCACGCTCCCACTCACGAAGCTCTTCAACGTACTTGCGCACGTCTTTGGTCAGTTGCTTTGTGAGCACAACCTCCTCCTCAGAGTCAACAGTGGTTTCGTGATCCGGTGCAGCGAAGAGACGGCCGCTGTACTCCGGCTTGCGAAAGAAATGCTTCTTGAGTTCTTCGGTAACCCACTTCTCGCGCGTCGATGAGGTGAGTTCTTCAGCCCAGTACTCCTTGACGTATTGAGGTACTCTAGCCGTCATGGTGTCATAGTCCAGCTTATCCGACCAGCGTGTCTGCGAATAATTGCCGTAGTACATATAGCGCTTTCCGACGAGAACGAACATGGGCACATCCTCGTACGAGTTGGAGTCTTCGTCAAGTAGATCGCCGTATTCTTCTTCTGGGGCCTTGTTGAAGAAGGCAGTGAGCTTTGCACCGTGGTCGCCAGGCGCCTTGGGCAGGTAAGGTTCATTCTTCGGATCGAGCTGGTAGTATGTACGATTCTTCAGCATGCATGGACCCTTGCCTGAGACGAAACGCAGGCCAGGTGACCAGGAAGCTCCACCCAAAGTGTTGGCGAGGAAGTCAGGATGGAACGTGACGGTGGCGTTGCCTGTGGAAAGTTGACCGGAGAACGCGGGCAGGGTTGTAAGATGGTAAGGCTTCCACGCTGCATCCAGAGAAACGCCTTCGATGGACAGGGCGGGATCTTGGACGGCAATTAATGGTGAAGCAGGTGGGCTTAAAGCAGGTGTGGGGATCTGCTTGGAGACGACATCGACTTGATGGGTGTTGGTGGTGCGGGTACTTTGTCCTTGTCAGCTTCAAGTAACTCCAAAACTCGTCCATGCATCTAAGGATACACTCACACTTGGCCATTGGTAGACTCGAGCTTTTTACCTCGCAAATGCGGAGGCAGAGATGTCTTGACTGTACCGCTGCTGGTGTCGCTGGAAGTCCTGAGATGGGGAGGTGTACTGCTGTTCACCTTTTGTACGTCAGCGCCACCGTTTACAGATCCCTGAACCTCTTCCTTAAGTTTCTCCAGCTCGATCCCGAACTCTATGGCGCTTTGGTGTGATTTCTGTACATCCACCTCTTGGAATGGGCCAACATGTACCGGCCAACCGCCCTTCTTGAGCTTGTCGACGGACAATGAGAGGCCATGGTACATCTCTTGGAGAGTGTCGATGTCTGCGCGTATCTTTGCATGCCCCTCTTCCAGGTTGAGAGTCCTTGCCTCCAAGTATGGAGAGGAAGGGGTGCTCACCTGGCTAGGCGCGCAGTGCCGAGAACCGGTTGGAGCGAAGTTGTTGGCCGCGGGGTTCATCGTGTAGCTGATGTTGTGGAATCGCTGCGAGTGTTGGCCGTGAAGGACTGGATCGCGATTAGACATTGTACCACGAGAGTACTAGACTTCTCCAACCAGGATGACTTGTAGCTCTTGGATACTCGGAGTTGTTGAGACTGCAGGAAATTGTCAGCTTGAGGTGGATCTAAGAGTAAGAGGCTCAAAGTCTTACCGTAAACCGATGTGCTATCGTTGTGAGATGGTGTGATCAAGTGAGACGTGCTGGAAGTTATATGCTGGGGACATATAATATAGAAAGGAATGGAGGAGGGACGGTTGGAAACCTCAGAAGACTTCTTTATATAGGCCACAGATGAGAGTCGTGGATCTGGGAAACAGAGGCGGTGGCATAGCGGCAGCTCTATGCTATCTCAGGTAAAAGAGATGAGGTTGCGGTGATGCCGGGGTGGTGGTGTCTGCAGACGAGAATGAGGTGAAGTTCATTCCATCGAAGATACCGGTAGGACATTCAAGCTTTGTGCCATTGCGTTGATTACGCAAGATCTTGGGAAGTGTTTGGCACTATACACATTCCTCACGGCGCTGGTGGGATGTCGCTGGGCACTAGACATGTCACGCCTTACCGAGAATGTGGTTGCTGCTTTGCACTCAAGTGAAAGTTTATCGCAGGTTCTACCCAGGCCCAGGGTCGATGTGGGCGTTACTGGGCTCTCTAAGAGTTTGATGCTTGCTCTTACTCTGCTTGTCAAGCACGTATCACCTACCTACCCCTACAGTCAGACTATAGCACTAGCTTCGCGCCCCGACTGTGCTCAAGGTTAACACGGATTCGTCTTAAGTCTGATACCTATGCATCGATTCCTGTTGAGTATTGAATTGAGCTAATCGCGAGAGGCGGGCACTTGGCTCCCGAGCTCTTCCCGACTCCATCAACAACTTCTCTTTTCCCCATGCTCTGGCATCCACTCGCGACGACGTCGGCAAAATTCCCTGGTTCTGTGGCCCTTCGCTTATCGTGGTTCCAGTCTGGCTCTTGGTACCCCGCGCTCACGAGGTCGACGACTACGCTGCAGAGATGCGCGTCCAAAGGCCAATGACTACAAGTCTTACTTTCCGCCGAAGTGCTGCTAGATGTTGAAGTCGATGGGGCGCGTCAGAAACGCGCAGCTGCGAGGTCAACTGTGGGATCACCGCCCGAAGTCCGCTCTCTTCATATCAGGCGCAGACTCAGGCATCAATAGGCCTATGTGCAGCATCGAGTTGTATCTGCGAGTCGTGGGTCGGCGCACATGGACAAGTAGCTGGTTCCGACTCGGGGTGCACTACGCGCGTGACCGGGATGGTGAGGGGAAGCCGCGGAGCGACACGCGACATACGCGACACAGCGTGAAGCAGGCGACGGCACCAGGCATGCTTAACAATTCCCTCGGGGGGATAGAGCGACAGTCTTGTTCAAAGACGAAGTATCATGGGACGAACATGTCGTCGAGATTGGGAGCTCGCGGTAGATGGCCTAATGCAGGGGAAGGGAAAGGAGGACCCTGACCGAGAAGCGCGCCAACGTCATTGCGCGCTTGGGCCTTGGCCGTCATTTTGCTCTCCATCTCGCTGGCGACCAGCACTCGACCACTGCATGCTGACTTTGGCCAAACACGGACAGGCCCATCTACCTTCAGAGCAAGCGCCAGCATCGTTCCTTCTCTGTCAAAACCCGCCATTGGTCCTCCAGCATGCCGCCCAAACGCACCCAAGCCCACGACGAGGCGCACACGTCGCTCAAGGACAAACTACAGAACCTCCAGGGCTCCAACGCGCGGGGCGGTCGTCGCAACGGTGGTGCCGGCGCCCTAAACGGCAGCAGCCTGAAGGAAGTGGACAATGCCTCTACCAACAGTGGCCAGACGTCGACCGATCTCAGTTCGTCAGGAAACGTTCGTCGCGCCCTCACTCTTTCCCCCTCACACGCCTGCGCCTTCCATTGCTAACACGCCCTCGTCGCAATAGATCAAATGGTCATCGCAAGACCCCTCCGTTCTCCAGGGCTACCGTAGAGCCTACCGACTCGATTGCCCGTCAAGCTTCAAGAACCCGCTCAGCCACGTCGTATTGAGCCAGGGCATTGGGCGCATGTCTCCCACCATGGCGCGACCAAAGGGCAAACGACGTGTTCAGAAGGACCAGCTGGGTATGGCGGTCAAGAAAAGCTTCAACTCCCAGGCTGTGACAGAGAGCGACGTGATTGTCGACTGGCTCTACAAGTCGAAACACCAGGGTACGCATTGCGAGCATACTCCGATACCGTGACTAGGCTAATTCATAACACAGACAACGAGTTCCGCGTGCGCTTCGCACCCCAAAGGAAGTGACTGGGTCACTCGCGCCTATACATCGCTGCATTTCCGACTTTCTTCGACGATACCCCTCTTTGGCACGATAGCCACCACTTTTTTTTACACACGACATGCAAGCATTGAACAGGAGTTTGGGATACTGGGCATTAATGAACAGGAAAGGGTTACGCATCACGGCTTGGTTTGACCGCGTAGGTCGGTCTGATGTCCACAAACGACCCCGAGCATGGAACATACAGAGATAAAGGATGATCGGCAATGAGCATTTGATAATACCAGGAATCGGACTGGGTGTAGCGGATGCGCCTCGGTGCGTCGAGTCCATAGCATGTCTGCCTGCCATGTGCGTTCCGCATGGCGAACAAAGGCAAATGGCAGAGCTGATGTCAGGATATGCAAGCATCAGCCAGAATAAATACATCCGTTCGTTCATCTATGCGGGCGGTTTGCTAAACCGTAGTCGCGTCATAGTAAACTCTCGAAGCTTCGACGCGCTCTTTGCCGAGGGCAGCCAATGAACTTGCGTCACCGGCCCGTGCCCGCAAAAAGTTGTCGATTGTCGGATTATACACCACAGGTCGAAGCCCATAGCGAAAAGCAGTATCAAGACAGTCATTGCTCACCTCCGCACCGTTTCAGGATGAGCTTCGCTGGTCCCATGCCGCTCAAGGCGGTGGCTCCCGTGCGCATCGCCGGCTCGAGGTCCTTCGCCAAATGTCAACGACGATGTATAGCGACGCAGGCCTCGCAAACACAATCGCGGAGACCGTCAATCGCACAGAGGCAACAACCGCACAATTCGCAGTCAATACGAGTACGTAGCATCTGGTTTCCCGCTGTTCCGAGTTGAGTTACTAACACTGCATGCACAGTTCTTCCACGCCTCTCCCCCGTCCTTCGCCATGGCCGATCCGTATCAAACCCTCGGAGTCGGTAAGAACGCATCCGCCGCGGACATAAAGAAGGCCTACTATGGTATGGCCAAGAAGTACCACCCCGATACGAACAAAGACGCCGGTGCGAAAGAGAAGTTTGCCGCCGCACAATCCGCATACGAAATCCTCTCAGACGCCGAAAAGAAGAAGGCCTTTGACTCCTATGGCGCCGGTGCTTTCGATGCGAATGGCGGCTTCAACCCTGGGGCTAGCGCTGGAGGCCCGGGAGGAAACCCGTTCGGAGGAGGAGGCTTCGGTGGGTTTGGCGGGTTCGGTGGCGCCCAGGGTGCGGGCGGATTCCAGGACATCAATTTCGAAGATTTGTTCGGAGCTTTCACAGGTGGACGACGAGGAAGAGGCGGAGGCGGGAGAAGGAATCCGTTTGAAGAAGAGATCATGGTTGGCGACAACATTGAAGTACAGACAAACATCTCGTTCTTGGACGCGGCCAAGGGTGTCAAGAAGGACATACACATTACCCCCATGGCAGAGTGCGGGACATGTAGTGGCAGTGGCTTGAAGCAGGGTGCCAAGAGAGCAGAGTGTAAGAGCTGTGGGGGCACTGGACAGAGGGTAACGAGCATGGGCGGCTTCCATATGAGCGCAACTTGCTCATCCTGCGGTGGATCCGGGTTTGCGATACCCCGGGGCTCGTCTTGTGGCACTTGTGGCGGCGATGGAGCAGTCAAGGAGCGCAAGACCATCACCATTGACATCCCTGGTGGTGTAGAAGACGGCATGCGGTTGCGCGTTAACGGCGAGGGAGACGCACCACTCACGGGCCATGCCATGTCTTCTGGCACCATCCGCGGCCAGAGAGGAGATCTTTACGTCCTCATTCGCGTAGCAGCTGACTCGAAGTTCAAGCGCAATGGTTCGGACATTCTTCATACAGCCACCATCCCCTTCACGACTGCTGTACTGGGAGGAGAGATCAGGGTACCTACCCTCGAAGGTGAAGTCAAGGTCAAGGTCCCCACTGGATCTGGAACAGGTGACCGCGTCACATTGTCTGGCATGGGCATGAAAGTACTCTCCGGCCGACGAGGCGCCAAGGGCGATTTGCGCGTTGAGTTCAAGGTCAACATGCCGAAGTATCTCAGCGTCAACCAGCGGACCATTCTCGAGATGCTGGCAGACGAGATGGGAGACAACAACGCGCAACGCGTCATCAACCCTGGAAAGATGAAGGACCAACATGGCAACAGTGTTGGGAACGATCACTCGAATGAGGGCTTTTTGAAGAGCGCATGGCATAACCTGACTGGGCAACATAAGCACCTGGACCCAGAGGAAAGGCGTAAGGCGGAAGAAGACGAGAAGAAGCGAGGATCTGGCTGAGCCTACGTTCATGATATGAGGACACGTTGTATAATAAGGCGGGCGTACGGGACGACCCATGCGACTCATGTTATCATGTTTGCAGCAAGACGATTGAGAGCATTCAAGGCGCATATGGAGACTGGTTGAGCATGATGTATAGAAGTATTAGTATTTGGCCTCTCGACTCAGGCTTGTAGAATATCACGCTGTTTATGACGCACGGAAAGAAGCCCAAGATGTTTACGAATTGAGGCACTCGCTAGCTTCTCCTACCCAATATCGCGGGCGCGTAACCAAGGCGAGACTCTCGGTCTCCTTGCATGGTCATTGGCCGGCGCGAGCCGCACAGCTGGGGTCGGCTTGAACGTCTCGCTGAATTTCCGCGACGGTGTGACGAGCTTGAAGAGTCACATATCGATAGCGGTCTGGCTCGCGTGGCGTGCTGGAGGTGTGATAGGCGAGCGTGGATGAGGAAGTCGCGGCTCTGGTGTTGCTTATGCATGTGCCTGCGTCTTCCCCACCAACATCACTCGCACCCTCCGAGCTCACCGACGACACCAAACATCGTCTGCATTGTTACCACCTGGGCATCCAAGCTTTCGCTGTGCCGCATCACAATCGTTCCCAGGACTCGGATTGACTAGATCGCGCCCCATGCGGCTGCTCACCCGCCAACGATAGACTACGTGAACGAGCTACCCGACCAACGCATCGTCCCGCTGTGCATGTACACTCTCGCGACGTCATCCGCTGCCTGAATGCTCTGCTACTTCGCGAGCAAAGCATCGACATATCCATCCCAGAGTACTAGGCACGCGCATTTGCAGCTACTGTTCTAGCGCGCCATCCGAGGCCCACGACAGCCCACTTCCCACGTTGTCGCCTACGCCATTGTCGCCGATCACCACACCCGCGAGCCCAAGAGCCTCCCCTCGCGGCGATACCTCTACAGAAAGCGCGCCCAGCGGCGGCCTCCCCAGCGCACCCTTCGCCTACCATGACGACGCAAATACCCATGATCTCGGTGCCCATGAAGCAGACCAGCGAGATCGACTGGATAGCCCCGCTGAAGCAGTACATACGCGCCACGTATGGCGACGACCCAGAGCGCTACTCGGAGGAGTGTGGCACGCTGAATCGCTTGCGTCAGGATATGAGAGGCGCTGGCAAGGACAGTGCAGCAGGCCGGGATCTGCTCTACAGATACTACGGGCAGCTGGAACTGCTCGACCTGAGGTTTCCGGTGGATGAGAACCACATCAAAATAAGTTTCACATGGTACGTTGGCAAACGGGAAGGAGCACCGGAGAAGCAGACGGATTAGGCAAGAGTACGCCCAAGACTAACCAGCGTCAGGTTCGACGCCTTTACACACAAACCAACCTCTCAGTACTCCCTCGCATACGAAAAGGCCAGCATCATCTTCAACATCTCAGCCGTCCTATCTTGCCACGCCGCCCACCAGAACCGCCACGAAGATGTTGGGCTCAAGACCTCGTACCATTCGTTCCAGGCCTCCGCCGGCATGTTCACCTACATCAACGAGAACTTCCTGCACGCCCCCTCGACCGATCTCAGTCGCGAGACTGTCAAGACTTTGATCGCCATCATGCTGGCACAGGCGCAAGAAGTCTTTCTGGAGAAGCAGATTGCGGACGGCAAGAAGGTCGGCTTGCTGGCAAAACTTGCCAGTCAGGCCGCTTTTCTGTACACACAGGCAACGGAAGGGGCGCAGGAAAACGTTACGAACGCTGTGTTCGAAAAGGTCTGGCTATTGGTTTGCCAGGTGAGAATATCACAGCATTACTTGCTATCAAAACTAACGGTCGCGCAGATCAAATCGCACCACATGGCTTCGCTAGCCCAGTACTATCAAGCTCTGGCTGACGATGACGCCAACATTCACGGCGCAGCCATCTGCAGGCTACAAGTCGCCGAAGCGCATGCCAAAGACGCCAATCGAGCAGCCCACAGCTTCCCCAACAACGCGCCAGCCAACTCGAACCTAACTTCAGAGACTGGAGGCATACTCGCAGAGATGACGAAGAAACACCTAACCAACGTTCAGGAAAAGCTGCTAGAGTTTGGCAAAGACAACGACTTCATCTATCACCAAGGCATTCCGAATGAAGCGGCCTTGACACCAGTGCCCAAGATGCCTGCGGCCAAGGCGATACCCGTCAGCGAGTTATACCAGGGTCAGGACATTCAGAGAATCATCGGGCCAGATATCTTTCAAAAGATTGTACCTCTAGCCGTCACTGAATCGGCTAGTCTGTACGACGAAGAGAAGGCCAAGCTTATACGGGCTGAGAGCGAGCGTGTAGAGGTCGCCAACGACGAGATGGCCGCTAGTCTCGACTATCTCAAGCTACCTGACAGTCTCAATGTTCTGCGAGGAGGCATGGACCAAGATATGATGGTGGATAACGACTTTCGAAAGTGGTGCGAAGAGCTCGCTGGGCATCAATCATTTGGCCCTGCGTTCGAACAACTGGAAAGGGATAAGACCGAGATAATGAACTCTCTCGATGCCAGTATGAAGCAATTAGACATGGAAGAGAGTGTCTGCGAGAAGATGAGGTCCAAGTACGGATCCGAGTGGACACAGCAACCTAGCTCGCGGTTAACCTCGACATTACGAAACGATATCAGAAACTATCGAGGGGCAGTTCAAGAGGCGAGCACCAGCGACGCACAGCTATACAACACGTTTAGGCAATGTGAGGCCGACTTTGACGAGATGCGTTCAGCTGGTGAGACAGATGAAGCCGATGTGTTATATTCCCGGGCTATGGTCAAGGCAGGCGCAAGCAAGGGCAAAAGCCCTAGGCCAATGGAAGGCAACCTTATCGATGATGACATTGACGAGGGTCCGTCAGTCACCGATCAAATAGCAGCCGTCGAGGATATCCTACGGAAGCTGAATCTTGTAAAGAAGGAGAGGACGCAGATACTGAAGGATCTCAAAGACAAGGTACATGGCCGTCGACTTCCCCTCACAACGTATACTGACTAAAACAGGTTCACTCTGACGACATCTCTAACGTACTCATCCTCAACAAGAAAGCCATTGCGAATCAGGAGTCGCAATTGTTCAAAGCTGAGCTGGAGAAGTTCAGACCACATCAAAATCGTATACTGCAAGCCAATCATAAACAAGCTTCGTTCCTGAAAGAGCTGACCCGGACTTACTCCGATCTGCTGAAAGACAAGCGTGTGCGATCTGAGCAGAGCAAATACGAAGCCTTCTCGCGGCAGCGAAACACAGTTATGACGAAGTATCGCAGAGTGTATCAAAGTTTCAATGACCTCGTCGCTGGCTTGATGCGCGCCCAAAGCTTCTACACGGAGATGAAAGACACCGTGCTAAGTCTGCAGAAGAATGTTGAGACGTTCGTTAACAACAGGCGGAGTGAAGGCGGACAGCTACTGTCGAAGATTGAAGAGCGAAACAAGGCACAGGGTGCAGACCAGGAACAACAACGGATGAAAGACCTTATGGAGAGAATGTCCTTGGAGCCTTCGGGTTCGCCGGTATCACAAGGTGGAGGTCGCAAGAAGAGCATACCACCACCACTGTCTTCTACACCGGGCTACCCATCAAGTTCGGGGGCTGGCCATCCTGCTTATAACCCCGCGGCTTCACCACCAGTCACACCGCGCTACCCGATGACCACAGGCCCAGGGCAACAATACATGTCGCCACAGCAGTCCTATGGTCAACCCTCGAACGGCTACAACCAGCAACCACCTCCACGTCGAGAGAGCTACCAACAACAATACCCTGCACATCAGTCCCAGAACTCTCAGGGCTCCTCGGCTTACAATCCCGCGGTTCACAACCAATACAACCCGGTCTCCCCACCGGCACATCAACAATTCTTCTCCCCGCCACCTGCACAGCATCAGCAGCATCAGCCATGGGGTCAACCCCCTCCAAACCAGCAACAACAATGGGGTGGTACACCTCAGAATAATCTACCACAGGGTTATGTTCCACCGCCACCTCCCCCGGGACCGCCACCGAGTCACAATCAGCAAGATTACAGTCACTTTAGCCAAGGAGGGTATCCGAATGGACCTGGCGGGTATGCGAACCAGCAGAGGCCAGCGCAAGGACAGAATGGCAATGACCCATGGGCAGGGTTAAGTGGCTGGAAATAAGGAACCTGTAAAGCGAGAGAGAACGTTGTCTTGGCGCAGGTCATTTTCGATTGTTTGACAGTCTCGCTGCGCAGAGTTGGAGTTAGTTTACAGGTTCAGTTCATTCGGCAAGGTCTTCTGAAGAGCGGACAGTGGATAACATTTGTGTATTGCCAAGGCAGGTGTAGATAGTTGGAAACATCAGACATGCACGATCAGCTTTTGGCATAATTCAACACTGAGACGAAGTCTCGCAATCAATGCTCTGGGTATACTTAGCTCTTTTGCGTGTGCTACTTTGCCTTCACCGCGTGTTGCAGCTTGACAAGCTAATCGCTCACAAAGTCATACACCATTCTCACCCTCAGCTCCTCGCCTTTGCTGTTGCTGACCTTCACACGTCTCGTGTGTCGCCTCTCTCCATCAACAACCTCGAAGCCCCAAAGATGACTAGCCTCCCACTCGCCCTCCTTCTTCCCTTCTGCGTGGATCAATTTCCCATCGCTATCTCCTTCAATCCACTCGCCCTCGCCCTCACCAACTACGCCCGTCTGCCTCCCCTCTTCAACACTGACCCATTGACTCCTTCCGGCTACCTCACCAAAGAAACCGTCCTTATTGGTACGCCACTCGTAGTCCAACGTGTACTCTTCGGTCGTACCGGGGATTTTGCCGCTCGTGATTGACTGCGCCATTTTGATGTGTTGGTGATCGGGCTGGCTTATGTTCAGATGGATGGATGCTGCCGTGGCTGTCTTGCGGACTAGGACGTTGACGCCCTGCAGTGCGAGGACTGAGGCAAAGTCATCGGAGCAGGCTTTGTTTAGTTGCCATTTGCCGGAAAGGGACTGTAGAGATTTGTTTGGGGGCGC